AGTGGGGGTGGAGGGCTGCTGGAAAGCCAGCATCTGAAACAGCAATGTCTTCAGGGACCAAGAAGGTAATACAAATGAGCAATAAGTAATGCCAAGAATGTCTGGGTATAAAACAGGAGGGAATGGAGGGCTGCAATGAACTGGAAGCTATATGCTCCATGTAAAGGAAGCAATCACTACTCAAACACAGCTGATTGTGTCAGGCAGGAATTTGGGTCCAAAGTTGCCAGAAATTTTGATTTTTCAAGAGAAAGGGTAAGTCCTGATTTTCAAATGTTGGTAAGTCAAAATTGTTGAGAACACTGTGTAAGCCCAACAATACATCTGTGAGCCAAGTCTGGCCCATGGGCCACCAGCTTGCGGCTCTACCCTAGAGTTGTTTATATGAAGACCGCCTGGACCGTTATTTCTAGAATGGAACATTAACTGTATAGCCTGTCATGGTTAAAACTTCTTTAGGCAGTCTCCCAACCAACAACCTAGACTCCTCTCATGTCTCAGTTTCAACACTAATTTAATGTACTCGCTTCAACAGCACATATACTAAAATTGGAACAATACAGAAAAGATTAGCATGGCCCCTGCACAAGGATAACACGCAAATTCATGAAGCCTTCCATATTAAAAAAAAAAAAAAAGAGAAGAGTATCCTACCCAAATCTCACCCTGGATTCAGTGTAGATCTTCGTTATTTCCCTAATTATGACATAACTGGTTTCTTCCAATTTGTTTCTTGAGCCTAGGCCAGTCTCATCGCCACTCCTGCCCAAGTAGACTCTCTCCAGCACATCATAGTTTTGCTGGATGATCCATCAGCCTGATTGTACACCCTCAGTTCCAAGAAGAGAATTAAGCTGAACCCTAAAGCCTAGTCGGTTAGGATGGGATAAGGTTTTATGTTTTGGCCCCACCTCTGACAAGTTCCTGTCCTCAGGCCTGCATTATGGAAAAGGCTACGCTTCTGGGACATGGGGCTTGCAGGAATTCAGATTCTGAGAAATCTGGGTAAAAGTACATTTGAATGAAAAAAGCTATGAGATACCACGACTGCACTTCTAGGAGATGAGGTCTCTCCTCCAATCAAAAGATGTGTTCCTGGGGTGGGGATGGGCTTCCTAAGCACAAAAACAACAGTAGAAATCATAAAGGTTATTCTTGGAATTCATCCTAAGGCTATCTCAGGACCAATGCACAGGCACTCTCAGGTGCTCAAAAAAGAGTACAAACTCACAAAACCTTCTAGAAAGCAACTGGGTAAAACATGAAGAACCTCGAAACAGTTTATTTCTATAGACTTGGGGGTTTCTCTTATATAATTCTATCCTATGAAAATATGCAACAATCTGAAAATGATTTATATACAAAGATCCCCACAGCATTATTTATAATAACATTCTAGAACACTTAGTATGTGCCAGGCAGAGATGTACTATATATGTACTGATTCATTTATCCCTCACAACAATCTCTTCAGATAGGTACAATCAATATTTCCATTTCACAAGTGAGAAAAAAAAGGCAACAGCCAATGAGAACCACTGCTCTAAGAAAATGAGTAATTAAGATAGCCTAAAATCCAAAAGAAAGCTGCTTGTATCTCCTTGCCAAGAGTAACTTAGTAGTGGGGGTGGAGGGCTGCTGGAAAGCCAGCATCTGAAACAGCAATGTCTTCAGGGACCAAGAAGGTAATACAAATGAGCAATAAGTAATGCCAAGAATGTCTGGGTATAAAACAGGAGGGAATGGAGGGCTGCAATGAACTGGAAGCTATATGCTCCATGTAAAGGAAGCAATCACTACTCAAACACAGCTGATTGTGTCAGGCAGGAATTTGGGTCCAAAGTTGCCAGAAATTTTGATTTTTCAAGAGAAAGGGTAAGTCCTGATTTTCAAATGTTGGTAAGTCAAAATTGTTGAGAACACTGTGTAAGCCCAACAATACATCTGTGAGCCAAGTCTGGCCCATGGGCCACCAGCTTGCGGCTCTACCCTAGAGTTGTTTATATGAAGACCGCCTGGACCGTTATTTCTAGAATGGAACATTAACTGTATAGCCTGTCATGGTTAAAACTTCTTTAGGCAGTCTCCCAACCAACAACCTAGACTCCTCTCATGTCTCAGTTTCAACACTAATTTAATGTACTCGCTTCAACAGCACATATACTAAAATTGGAACAATACAGAAAAGATTAGCATGGCCCCTGCACAAGGATAACACGCAAATTCATGAAGCCTTCCATATTAAAAAAAAAAAAAAAAGAGAGAGTATCCTACCCAAATCTCACCCTGGATTCAGTGTAGATCTTCGTTATTTCCCTAATTATGACATAACTGGTTTCTTCCAATTTGTTTCTTGAGCCTAGGCCAGTCTCATCGCCACTCCTGCCCAAGTAGACTCTCTCCAGCACATCATAGTTTTGCTGGATGATCCATCAGCCTGATTGTACACCCTCAGTTCCAAGAAGAGAATTAAGCTGAACCCTAAAGCCTAGTCGGTTAGGATGGGATAAGGTTTTATGTTTTGGCCCCACCTCTGACAAGTTCCTGTCCTCAGGCCTGCATTATGGAAAAGGCTACGCTTCTGGGACATGGGGCTTGCAGGAATTCAGATTCTGAGAAATCTGGGTAAAAGTACATTTGAATGAAAAAAGCTATGAGATACCACGACTGCACTTCTAGGAGATGAGGTCTCTCCTCCAATCAAAAGATGTGTTCCTGGGGTGGGGATGGGCTTCCTAAGCACAAAAACAACAGTAGAAATCATAAAGGTTATTCTTGGAATTCATCCTAAGGCTATCTCAGGACCAATGCACAGGCACTCTCAGGTGCTCAAAAAAGAGTACAAACTCACAAAACCTTCTAGAAAGCAACTGGGTAAAACATGAAGAACCTCGAAACAGTTTATTTCTATAGACTTGGGGGTTTCTCTTATATAATTCTATCCTATGAAAATATGCAACAATCTGAAAATGATTTATATACAAAGATCCCCACAGCATTATTTATAATAACATTCTAGAACACTTAGTATGTGCCAGGCAGAGATGTACTATATATGTACTGATTCATTTATCCCTCACAACAATCTCTTCAGATAGGTACAATCAATATTTCCATTTCACAAGTGAGAAAAAAAAGGCAACAGCCAACTAACCCCTCCAAGGTCTGCAGCTACTTGATGGAAAAGCCAGAAACAAACCCAGTCTGGTACAAGAGCCTGTGATCTTAACCACTGTACCACACTTTCAGGAACTACTTACATGTCCCCAAACCACGTTTTCTAAGAATATTTGATGAAGGGATTAAATAACGAAAAATTTTAAAAGCCATATACAAGCCACAAAGAGTATGATCTCAAGGGTACTTTTTAAAAATTATAAATATGCACAGAAAAAAAATACTGGAAGGTATTTTACACAAATAGAACAAATAGTTCTCCAGGAGATAAAATCATGGGGTGATTTTAGTTTAGTTTTTTGGTTTTGGGGTTTGTTTGTTGTTTTTTTTTTTTTTGCATTTTTCAAATTGTCTGCAAAGTCAATTACCTTTTAATTAAGAAAAAAAAAGAGACACACGCTACTTTAAAAAAATGTTTCTTTTGAAGAACATTCCACAAAAACAGGGAAAATACATTATAGCTTAAGTTTAAAAAGCAGAATATAAAGTTATATGCAAAGTGTGATGCCAATTCTATGAAAGAAAGAAATGAAGACAGGAATGAACTATTAAAAATGCTCATCTCTTGGTGGGAAATTAAGGGTGATTTGAGGCTAAGTTAATTTTCTCCTTAATGAATATATTTTATAATCAGAAAGTTATTCCCTTTATTACAGAGCTCAATCAGACCAGAGTCCCCCTGGCCAAACCCTATCAGTTTTACATCGGTCTGAGTACCGACCTTCCCTCCTCCCAGGCGTATCTGTGGAGGGGAGCCCTTTAACATTTCTTTTTAACAAATTCCTTAAAGTTATGAGCCACAGTGTACTGTATAATCCCTTATTGCTAACTCCACCGTGCTCTCAGTCTATTTTTAACACTGTGGATAAACTACATACAGTGCCAACACTTTTGCAAGCAGAGATACGGAAAGAACAGAGTATAATTAAGTGCCTTGGCAGCACAGTGCTAAGAAATACGGAGAATTCTGGGCTACTTCTCAGCTAAAATACTACCTCTACATGACTGGGCAAATTCACAGCAATCTTCTCTTCCTTTCAGTGATTTCACACAGAATCCCTCCTTACTATCTCATGACAGAAAAAGTAAAAAAAGAGGGATCCACTGGGATCTCTTAGGTTCTGCCCTCAGAAACCCAAACATGAGGTAGAAGCCATCCACCTTCCTCTAACTGGCCCCAGGCAGACCTTGTTTGCAAAGTCAGTGTAAAGAAATCTGAAACATCAATGGGAAAAAGCCATTTTGGTGTTTAGAACATCTGCTGCTTAGAACCAGCTGTGGAGAGTGAAAGTGGCAGGAAGGAGTGGCCCTGTGGACCTAAGAGATAACACCTTGGGACCCCAACAACCTTGAGAAGCCGACTTCCTCACTGACACCTTTAAACTGGTTTACAATAAAAAGCTGGAAAACAAAATAACTTTTTTTTTTAGAGCAAAAGAATAAAGGCCTCAGCATTTAGGTTTTTTCTGGGTTAAGTTACAACTAATGATGTTGACTCTATTCAAAACACCTGACAAGACAAATATAAGACACACACCATCCTGTCACACAGACTGGGGAACAGAACTCAGGGACAGCCAAGAGTGGATGGAATATGAGGCAACAAAAGCCACAAAAACAGATTCAAACTTCTCCCACCCCCGTCTTTTACCCTTACTTATCTCAGGACCAAATGACTCTGGTGAAATTACTTCTTCAAAAGGTATGACACCTCTCTTCCCTCACAAAAAGCAAAATATGCTGTTCAAATGTAAGGTACTATTAGCATTATTAAACTAACCCCCACCCCCACACATACTCCCCAACTAAGCCCCCAGACTTACATACGCAAGCAGCAGCGATGAGACGGCAGGCCAGGTACGGGGGATCACAGTTGGGAAAGGAGGGCTGGATGATGTAGTTGGCAAAGGTGATGGCAATGATGGCCTGACTGGTGGGCTCAACAATTAGCAGAGAGGCCCACAGGCGGATGAAGGCAATGAAGCCCCCAAAGGCTTCTAGGATATAAGCGTAGCTGGCCCCAGATTTGGTGATGGTGGTCCCCAATTCTGCATAGCAAAGGGCACCCACAATGGAGAAAAGCCCGCCAACGGCCCATACAGCCAGTGACAACCCATAGGAGGCCGTGTATACTAGCACGCCCTTGGGTGAAACAAAAATTCCTGAACCGATCATGTTGCCCACCACTAGGCTGACCCCATTCAGCAGAGAAATCTCCTTCTTCAGCTGCATAGTTTCTGTGGTCTCCTGTGGTGGCACGTTGACATTTTTTTCTCTGGGTTGGCCATCCTCAGGAATGAAATGATTCGCGGACGTGGGCCTCTCCAGCTCACTGGCTTCCATGGCAAATGGTTCCTTCACACCTGTGTTTTCTGTGGCCTGGCAAAGAATATAAGTATGTCAGTCTAGGGCAGGAGCTGGTGAGGCTTTGGTTTAGACTTGCAAGGCAGGCAGATTTCCCTGCACACTGTTTGTGCAGGAACAACATGCCTCATACACAGACTTAAATACCATGAGCCTGTCTGTTTCCACCACAGGACTCAGGGAAATGGAGTTAAACAGACCTCTTCTGCTCCCAAAAAAGACACCAGGAGAGCTCAGGCATGATAGGATGGCGAATTCCAAAAAGAGGTACCTGGCTTGACATCCAGAGTAGGCTGGCATTAGGTTCATCCACAGCACAGATTTTCCCTGCGATGTAACTTTTGCTCTGTTCTTACCACCTAAAAACCTGCAAACCTGCCCTACAGAGAAGACCAGCATCCCAGCACCAGGTTCCCAGCCCTAGCCAGGCAGACAGGCTTCTCACTATCCATACCCAGGTAACCCTGCCCACTCATCCCCACCCAAACATAAACGGGGACTTCTGCAGTGTCCAGCCACATGTGAAGAGGTCTGTAGCTACTCGCAGACTGGCAAAGAACATGAGCAGGTGGTGGGATGGGCTAGGAAGATGCTGAGACAAAGGCATATCCCTATTGCAGAGACTAGACCAAAAAGATGACCTTCATGAAAATACACACCCATGTGTTGCTGTGTCCACAATATCCACCTTACTTTGTACACTGCTGCTTGCCCACTCAACACCTTTCTCTTTCCAAAGTGTCTGGAAGAAAGGAATAACATAAGACCATATAGAGAAACGGTATCCAGAGGGCACCCTAACCCAGGGTTCATTTGTTATTGGCTTATTTGCTTACCTCAACATGCCCCTCACTACCATATGGGTGGGATTACAAAGAGATTCTCCCAGTACAAGACCCAAGAGTCTTGACAACCAATCAAAGCTTTAAAGTTTCTCTTATCCACAGATCTGGCATTGGAAGCATCCTGTAGAGAGACAGTATGCACGCACACATGCATACACGCACGCGCATACACACACACACACACACACACACATAGTATCTTTGGATCAGAGTCAGGTCAGTCCAGAAACCTCATGGAAGTTAGATTTCACATCAATCTACCGACAAAGGACCCGGAATCTGTCAGAGAAAGACAATCAACTTCCTGACCTTCCACTCAGCATGGCCCTCTTCCTGCCTCAATTCCTGTGCCCCAGGAGTCAGGAATTCAGATCCCCTACTCCTAACTTATCTTCTGGAGAAAGGAATCTGGCAGGTCATTTGATTTGATTCCCGCCCAAGAGTCAGTCCTTTATAAAAAGTCACAGAGATGCCTTCCTTGGCTAAGAATGAGATGACTACAGTATCTTCCCAGAAGCCAGAACTTTGCCTCACTGAGCTCAGAGCAAGGGAACCATGGCCACTTTAGAGTAGTTCTCAGGGAAAATTCCGATCTCTACAAGCCTCACCCAAAACTCCTGCCTTACCTGTCCCAGTCTCCTTCCTGAGTCTAGACCTGAGCCCAAGTGGGAAAGCTCCTCTGGGGCACTAGCGAGCTCCCAGAGGAGCTGAGCCAGCCTATCTCTGCTTAGGAGAGGCCTGGCTTTAAGGTGACACCACTTTTCCTTTTGCTCTTGGCACCAAGCCATTCAGGTTTCCCTATGCAGGCACACAGGGGCATATTTGTTTTCACATGTCTGTCAGGTGAGCCCAGGCATCCATGAAAACAAAACCAGGAAATAGCCGAGGAGCCTATATTCTCACGTAAGAGCCAGGTGCAGAGACTTAGGTTGCCCTTTTTCACCCAACTCAACACAGAGGCAAACAGAAAAACTGGCCCCAGTGACCACTCCGGCCTCCCCCTATTCCACTGGACCCTAGCTAGGGTATGGGATGCAGGTGGGAGAGGGAATCAACCTGGTACTTTTCTGACTTCTGACACCAGATATGTGGGTTTTCTACACAGTAAGCAATTTCGCACCAGCTGGGCGTCCTATGATTTAACTCGATCTGAAACAATCTACGTGGAGACAGCATCAGATACCATGGGTAAAGGTATCAGCCCTACAAAACCACCCACTACCACCATTTCAGATGCCAATCTCAAGGCTAAGTTGTTACCAGTGCTTCTGTCTGACGGGCTATAAATCAAAGGTTTCCAATACACCCTCCTCGGGTTCAATTAATTTGCTAGAGCAGCTCACAGAATTCAGGAAAACTTATTAGATTACCAGTTTATTATAAAAAGATTAAAGGTATCAGCCCTACAAAACCACCCACTACCACCATTTCAGATGCCAATCTCAAGGCTAAGTTGTTACCAGTGCTTCTGTCTGACTGGCTATAAATCAAAGGTTTCCAATACACCCTCCTCAGGTTCAATTAATTTGCTAGAGCAGCTCACAGAATTCAGGAAAACTTACTAGATTACCAGTTTATTATAAAAAGATATAACTCAGAAACAGCCAGAAGGAAGAGATGCACAGGGCGAGGTATGTGAGTTTCCATGCTATCTCTGGATGCGTCTCTCCCAGCACCTCCACATGTTCACCAACCCAGAAGCTCCCCAAGCCCCGATCTTTCAGATTTTTTACGGAGGCTAATTAAAAAGGCACAAATGATTAAATCATTGATCACTGGTGATTGGTTCAACCTCCAGTTCCTCTCCCCTCCCCAGAGGTCAAGACTGGTCTGAACGTTCCAACCCAAAAATCACCTGATTAACATAAACTTGAGTGTGTTGAAAGGGGCTTGTAATATAAATAACAAGACATCTATTTCACCTTTATTGCTCTGGAGCTCTTTCAGGAAGAAAACTGAACATTATAACAAAAAATGCCCCAAGATTCTTATGTAGGAAATTACAGGAGCTGTGTGACAGAAACAGTGGACCAAGACCAAATTATATTTAATCACAATATCATAGAGAGGGGGAACAAGAGAGGTAAGCTCAATACACTGGAAAATAAAATCTAGTATAAAATGGAATTTCCTCGACTTCAAACTTCCATTGAGGATGCAGAAAGCTGGATTCCGACTCCTATAACAAGAAAAAGTTGGATAATCTACAAAACCATAACTTTTCTTGAAGCCATCAGAGAACTGAACCAACTAGACTGAAAGTTAAGGAAAAAAAGGGGTTCCAAGGAGAGATGCAAGCTCTGGCTCACTTATGGCAGAGAGAGAATGATGGGACCAACACAGAAAAGGAAAGAAGAATTCAGGTACGATTTTTAATGAATTACTGAAGGTCAAGTGTGGGTTAGCAAGAGCCATAGACACTCAGGTTTTTCTTCACAGACTTCAGTGGATGCGCATAAGAAATGCTAGGCAGGAGACCAGAGAAACCCTTGCAGTAGTGCTCGCCTGGAGAAAACAGTCACTAAGCTGGGAAAAATACAAAGGTCTACCTGGTCCCTTCTCTAAAGAATAAAAATCTTAAACCCTTGGGGAAAGGGCAGCAAACTGTCACTCCCAGGGCAGCTGGGGCAAGGTGAAAGAAAAATAAAACCACGCTTTAAGCCTGGGGGAGGGGCAGGAAATTCTGAACCAGACCCATAGAGGTGTCCTACCCCTGGGGGCTGGGCAGGATCCTCCAGAAAGAACCATACACAGCCCAGACCAAGGGAAACAGGGCCCGCCTAAGACTGAGACTGAACCAAGACTATAGAGAACCCCTGTACTCCCCACCACCAGATTAGCAAGCACCCAGCAACAAGATTACGGTGGTAGACTGTGCCTTGAGGCACAGATGCAGAAAGATGACCTAAAGCTGATGGTAGGTGAAACATAAACTCTGAGGAAAAACTGTCCTTCCAGCAATGAAACCCTAAGCTGTAAGGAAAAGCCAGAGGAATTTGAAGCCCTTGGTGCAACTACGGTAACCACAGCAACAACACAACCCAAACACGACTCACCTCCTAACTGACTCAAACTGCCACACTAACAGCCTAGCAAAAGAAGAGGCATGCGCATTTCCCAGAAAAAATACTATGCACCTCAGCCTCTACTATTTCACGTACTACAGCACTCAATAACAAATTACAAGCAACACACGCGCACACACACACACAAAAGAAAAACAACCCGCTATCAAGAAGCAAAGTAATAAGTAGGAGGAGACTTCGAGATGACTCAGATATTGAAATCATCAGACAGGGACTTTAAAATAACTATGATTATCTGAAAAATAACATAAAAAGAGCCACTTTAACATGGAGAAGGAGCTGCCATCCCAGAGGAACTGCCTTGCTGGTCTTACTCCTCAAACCTTTGGAATGTTAAAACTGGGCAAAATAATCTTTGGACTGAGCCTAAAGCAGCACTGTACTCCAAGTAATTGTTTGCAAGGATAACAAGAAAGCAGCTGAAATTTAAAGATCTTTAAAACTAGCACCGCTATGTTAGCTTATTTGCACCTATAGAAATTTCTTCCTTAGCTTATTGCCTTTCCCTTTCTCATAAATGCCCCTTGCCTTCACCTCCTAATTGCAACACTATCTGGGTCTGTACCTGAATCAGTGCTATTCTTTTGGATTACGAATGCTTGTTGCTTCTCACATTGGCCTTTTATTTGTAGGTTAATAATACATGAAATGTTCTAATAAGAAAGTTGGGCAGGATACACAAACAGATGTGGAATTTCAGCAGAGAAATGAAAACCATAAGAGTCAAAACGGGAAAAAGTGAAAAACTAAAACAGAATAGAGCCTCCAAGAGAGTTATAGGCCAAAATCAAACAGTCTAAGGTAAATATTTTAAAAATACTTTTTTTCACTTATTTTTAATTGCTTTAGAATATAATAGATTGCCTAAAGCAAAAATAGTAGCAATGCATTTACAGCACATGTAAAAGTAAAATGCATGACAATAGCATAAACGTAAGAAGAATTCAGTTATACAGTCAGTCATAAGATTCTTATATGTGAAATGATGTAATATTACTTGAAGTAGACTCTGATCAATTAAAGATGTACATTGTAGAACTAGGGCAACCATGAAAAAAATAAGAGGTATCAATAATAAGCGAATAGTGGAGATAAAACAGATCATAAAAAATACTCAGTCTGAAAGAAGGCAGAAAAAAGAACATATGGAACAAACAGACAACAGAAAACAACTAGCAAGATGGCAGATTTTAATCCAACCATACTAATAACATGAAATGTTAATGATCTAAACATACCAATTAAAAGACAGACATTGATAGATTACCTAAAAATGCAAAACCCAATATGCGGTCTATAAGAAACCCATTTTAAAGACATAAATAAGTTACAAGTAAAAAGATGGGAAAAAAATAAACCACATAAACACTAATCAAAGAAAGGTGGAGTAGCTTTATTAACATAAGACAAAATAGACTTCGGAATAAGAAACATTGCTAGGGATAAAGAAGGATATTACATAATGATAAAGAGGTCAATTCACCAAGAAGATAATTCAACAGACAAATCCATGATTATAGTTACAGACTTCAACACTTCTCTCAGTCATCAACAAAACAAGTAGACAAAATCAGCTAGGACTTAGAAGACCTGAATATGGAATGTGAATTCTGAGAAAAATAAAATTTGTACCTGCAATAGGACTTACCTCCATGCAGGAGATGAGAGGTCAGGGGTGGAAGACAGACTTCCACCCCTCAAGTTTCACAAGATAATATCAACCCTACTATCTACTCAGTTAGTATGAATTCAGTTAGGAATTCTCCCTCAGGATTCCTAACTGAACTCATACTGTGTAGATTCCAATCTTCTTAACAAGGTCTTATCGCTAGAGCCCCTGCTGCAGGCGGTCGCACCCATTGTCCAGTACACTGAATTAGTTGTAGTTTTCTAAACCCTGGAGCCTTAGTTCTAGTTTTCTAAACCCTGGAGCCTATCACACAAACACATCTTTGCACATGTTGAGCCCTCTGCCTCTAATACTCTTCTCTCACCTTTTCCTCAACCTCCTGGCTGCCATCTTTCTCTATGTATCTCTTTGTGCCCCTAAGGTTTCTAGTACATACTTCTGCCTTAGCAGCCACCTCACTCTGTTCCATTTACTTGCCTTCAGTCTCTCCCAACTAGCTTGTAAGCTCCCCAATATAAGAACTAGAACAAGATCCATACTCAGTCCGTGATCATTGAATAAAAATATATCAAGGACAGAAAATACTTAGAACAGAAAATATACAACAAACTCTACTGAAAGTCTGACACCTTGAGCCACCTGCTCCCCAGAACGGCAGCAACAAAGGCTTCACTAAAGAGAAGTGATCTTTCAAGGAAGCCATTGTGAGACAGTGGTCCCCATTATTTTGTCACAGTACTTGTTCTTAGGGTAACAGGTGATAAAGGAGAAAAAACAATGACAAAAAGCTACTATGACTACAATAATGGTTTTTAATTCATTTTCCTTTAATTAGTCACAATAGTACCTACACACACTGTGAAAAAAGCAGTTGATTATTGTGTGAGATGCACTGTTTATCCCGTACCCACAAAGGAGATTGGTGGACTGTCTGCAACAATGGGATGAAAACCACTGATACAAAAAGTTCATAATTAACCCACTATTTCCAGCTAGGTAACTGATATTTGTGAGGAAGGAGGATGCAACAAAATTCTAACAGAGCACCCTCTCTGAATTGGCTTTCCTTTTGCTCTCAAATTTGCCAAAATCTTAACTATGGTGAAAACACAGAGGATTTTTTTTTTCACTTTTCTGAGTCTTATACATTTTCCACAATAAATATACATCAATTTTTTAATGCTTAAAGTTTAAAAAATATAAACTTATTGTACTTCTATCAAATAAAAATTATGTGACTCTTTACATTGGTCTTTTCACCTGGAATACCAGGAAATTCATGATAAAATTCAGCACCCAATCTCAGTGAATAAATATCCTCGCTTTGCTATCTAGTCTTTTCCATGACTTTGGTTTTTTATTTCTAACAATCTCATTGCAAGTATCTTTAATTATAAACCACCACAATTACTATTTAGAAAGAAATATAGTATAATAAACATATACTTTATATAATAAACAGCTTCTTTACTAGTATCATTTTCATATTGTACACAAATAACTAAAACTCTTTACAAATCACAAAGATCCAAAAAAGCTAACAGAGAACAGACCAATAATATTCACCTGTGAGGAAAAATGCTAACATCACAGTTTCATTAGCCACCTTATCATAAATGGTCAGGTACTGAGAAGAAAATGAGGTCTCCACACCAAGGCCTAATTCCACTTGTCTGTCTTAGCCATTTAATCTCTGCAACAAAGAGTAAGAGGCAAATTATCAAAAAATGAATCTTGAGGGCAGCAGGATGATACTTTCTTTTTTTAAAAAAAAAAAAAAAATCTAAATTTTACATTCCCAGCAGGGGCAGCACTCAATCACTGAGAAGTTCCATCACACCCACAGCAGGGGTTTAACTGAAGCAACCAGCCCAAATGTGTCAGAGAACTAGCCTGGTCATTTCAAATCATTCATGTCTAGACAGCTTTTGCTCCCCAAGTCCCAGATTCCCATCACTTTCGTAGAAACTTACCCACATCTTGGAGACTACAGCAGGAAGCATAAAGAATAGAGATTAGGAAATTTCCTGTACCAAAAAGTGCCAATGAGGTCAGTCACATAACTGGTATTTATTTTGTGCTGCAATAAAAATATGTCCACAGCAAGACAAGGAATGAGGAAGACAGGAGAATATCAGGCTTGTGGTTTTCCACATTATTTGTCAGGAAAGTAAAATCAAACTAAGAACGTGAAAGACAGTCTGAGATGAAAGTCAGGGAGAAAACACCATTAGCTCACAACGGGACCTTAGCAATGTGGGCAGCCTGGGAAGTTTCCTAAAGAGCCTCACAGCAAGCAAAGAGAAGTAAAAATGATCTCAGACAGTATTCACAGGCTTTCAAAAGTCTGCTCCTTCTAGATCTTCAAATCAGGGAGCAGCTTTCAGAGCTAAGCCCCAGATGGCTCAGCATTCTGCTACCATGGGGTCAGATTCACTGGTTGTGCTTTTTTTCCCCGGTCAAGAGCAGAGACCAAATTCTTTTTAACTGTATCACCAAGAGGTACTCAGATACATCTGTTAAAATAAATACTGATTCCTACTTATACTATTACACAACGTGGTACTCAAACTGTTTGCTTACTGCTTAGTGAAGAAGTCTCAAAATGTTTCACAAATATCTGTCCATTTATAACATGAGATGATCAAACAAGATGACAGGACACGGAGACACTAGAAAGAGCCCTAATAACAGTAACACCCCTTCTCTAGCTTCACTAGGCCAGTACCTTAAGCCCAACATTATTTAAAGCAACCCCAAGAAGCTCTAGTCCTGCCTTCCCAACCTCAGAGTCTTGCACCCTCTTCTCACTGAGTCTCACACACCGCACAGGTCCTCTTTCTTACCACTAGATTCACACTTGAGTATCTCAGTCTCTCTCACACATTCATAGTGTTCTGCTCGGGGCCACTCTCACCAGTCTCTCTCACACTTACAGTCTCTCTCACTCTCACGGAGTCTCATGGAGACCCTCACATTCAGGGTCTTGCACACTCACAGTCACTCTCAGCCTCAGGGTTTCACAGCCACTTTCTAGTCCAAGCTGTGTGTTTCTCTCTCACAGACACGCACGCATACATGCGCGAGGAGTCTTTCAAACATGCTCAGTCTTCCACTCAGGGTCTTCCACACTCCTGGAGTCAGTCACCCTTTCGCTCGGGGTCCCTCTTACACGCACAGCGTGGCGCTCTGGCATGCTCTCAACCGCAGCGCCTCTCACATGCCCCGGCCCGTCCGCCCCGCGCCCTTTCCCGGTCCCGCATCCCGCGGACGGCGGCGGCGGCGGCAGCAGCTGCGGTGGAGACGAAATCGGCCCCAATGGACGTGGCCTGTCATGCTGCTCCCGCGCGCCTGCCCAAGGCCCGTTACCTCACGGTGACCAGATGCAGCCAGGATGCTCCGTAGCCCCGCCGCCACTGCGGCCGCGCCTGCTCAGGCCCCGCCCCCGCTACGTCACCGGCCGCCGGATCGCGATAGCTCGCACCGCGTCGGGACTGGCGCACTCCTCCGCGTGCGGCTCTTCTGGGGCTCAGGTGCTGCCCGCCGCGGCCTGGAGATCCGGCTGGTAGCTCTCACACATCCATGTGTGCCGCCACGGCCTCTGCGTGCACTTGGCGGCCGGCCCCTAGGCTGGCCACTGCGGGGCCCACGTGGGCCGTGACCTGGGCCCAGCTACCCTTGCCAACTGGAGTGCCACTCCCTGACCTTGCACAGCGTCACTTGGGCCTCTGAGGGTCTAAATACGGGGACGCTGGGTCACACTGGTGGGGAGCAGGAGTTTGGGTATGGTCAGTCTGGAACCAGAAGATGTGCAGTTGTGACAGGTCCCCATACCTCATTTCTATGTGACCCGTGGCTTGCGCCCCACACCCAGGGGCACCAACAAGTCAGTTCACCCAAGGAGCTCTAAACACCCTCCTTACCTGGTTCACAGCCCCCCCGCTGCCTGGAGACTCTAGAAAGACACAGACCCAGGACTTGTCCTCCGGACCACATCCATTGAGGCCCGCATAGACAGACGCTGCCGGGTTTCCGTAGCCAACCCCGGGCCTTCCTGGGGCTCGGGCTTGAAGACATTTTTTCTGTCCTCATCTTGCCTGATCCTGCTGACACCTCTCTTAGAGGACTGCACCTCCCTGCCTCTTTATGTCTCTCTGGTTGCTCCTCTATCTCCTCCGGCCTCCTTTTCTTCTAGTGGCTATGGGGCTCTCAGGCCTTCTGACCTCATGGGCAGCTAAGCCCTCCCTCCTTAGCTTTCTGCCCACACCTCAAGCCGTGACTCTCTTCTGGACCATAGATTCATTCCCCCCAGACACGTGTTCACAACTGCACATCTTCTGGTTCCAGACTGACCAAACCCAAACCCCTGCTCCCTACCAGTGTGACCCAACCAGAGATGGACAGCAACCTGGACCCTTCCTCCTCCAGCTCACTAGGCCCTGCATTTCATGGTTTTCTTCTCCCCAGCTGTAATATAGCCTCCCAACCCATATCCGGCTCCCTCTAACCCATCCCCACAGGATAGGAGGGTGTTCCGAAAATAGATTGGAATGACTTCATTTCCCATCTACCTAAAAACCTTTTCGTCTTCCTATGGACCTGAGATGATGATCCTTGAAGGCTCACTGAAGCTGACCTCATGCTCTCTTAGGAATACCTTCTTTAAGTGTCAATGAGAGTTTGTATGTTTTTGGAGTCATTAAAGAGTCTGACTCTTCCCTCTGGATCAGTTCCTCCTGCCTTCCCTGAGGCTCTGGACACTTGTGTCACTCAATGGCAGCCAGTCCACTTGTCCTTGCAATAGCCACATATACAACCTTCCAGCTCCCAGACCTCTGGCTTTGCTGTCTCACACCCAGTTACAGCAGCCCACCAGCTGAAAGCCCAGTATGCACTAAGCACTAAATCAGATGTTCTCCAACACCATCAGTGTCCTTCAAGGCTACCTTGCAGGGTACATTTATTCATCCTCATTCTCCAGATGAGAAAACTGAGATTTGGGGAGGTCAGGAGACACCCCAGGCTACTTGCCTGGAGCTGGTGGAGCTCAGATTTGAACCTCGGTCTGCTGGTCCTGAAACCTGCTCTGACTCCATACCCTCTCTGCAGCTGTGAAACTAAGGGTGGCAGTTTAGCTGAAACGGGTTCAGGTGTAAGTGAGTGGCTGCAAGGCCACACCACAAGGGAATGGGTGGGTGGGTGTCGGCAGAACTGGGAGTTAGGTTGGGCAAGGCCTAAGGGTTTTCTGCCTTTCATGTTGTCATCCTTTTACCAAGGCCAGCGATGCAGCTGGACCTGTGTATCCCTAGGCATCCTCACCCTCTCCGGGCCACCCTTTCTCCCAGGTTTGACCAATAACTGTGCAGCGAGAGGGCTCAGAGCACCCTCTAGTGGCCTAGGCTGTATCAAAGCCTGAAGCCCAGACTGGACCAGCCCTGTGGAGGCACAAACTGGAGCTCCTACCACCCCGACTGGCCTCGGCTCTGGGCTCTGCACCATAGAATTCAGGCCTGGACTCCATCTCCATGCATGCTTCCCTGTTTCAGACTCTGTTTCTGTCTATCCATCTTGGCCTCTGTCCATACCAGTCTCAGCCTAGGATCTCTTCCTCCCTCCGTCTCACTCTGTCTCCAAAGCAGAACAGATGGTGGGTAGAGAAGCTGAAACAAAGAAGGGTGGTGTCCTGAAAAGAACTCTAGGTTCAAAGGATGCTGAGACCTGCTAGCTGAGAGAGAGAAAGCTAGAGAGTCCAGCCAGGGTGACCCACAGGATTGTCCTGGTACCTAGCTCGGGGGTGGCATGTAGGCCCTGCTGATCAGGCAGGAGCAGGAGCTTCATTCCAACAGGAATGTTTCAGTTCCTGGTTCTATGTACCAGGAGGGAAAATAGATTCCAGAAGAGGCGGCAGAAGGATAAAGCCCAAAGTGGTGCATAGGAGCCATGCTTTGGTGTTGAGAACCCATCAAGGCTCCAGAAAAGGCCTCGCCTGACTACCTGCTTCTCTAGCCCCTTTACCCCCCCACCACTTCCCACCTCTCAAGGTACTTTACAGTATCCAGAATACTTTTATTGCCAGAATCGAGGTACAGCCTGCTCAGAGCCCCATGCAGGTGAGGCCCACCACTCAGAAACAAAGGGAGAGACAGATGCTGGGTATGTACACAACAGAGAAAATCCGGCTCCACAGAAATCTTGTGGGAGAACAGCACAGTCTAGTCTGACTGTGGCTTTGGGGCCTCACCCTAGAGGCTAGACCCAAGTCTTGGCTTATAGCTGTCGCCTACTTGGAGACCACTGCCACCAAGGTAAATCCAGATTCTCCAGCCCTGCTATCACAAGGAGACTCATGCAGCACCTCTGAGGCAGACAGAAACCCCCAAGGGGGCTCCAAGGCACCTGGGTCTCACAGGGTCCCAAAGTATGTTCTGAGCTGTCCCTGCAGACTAAACACCACTGAGCTGCCTGGTGGAGGTATGTGCTGGGCAGGATGGGCAGAAGCCCTGTCTCCTTTCGACTCTGTGCCAGCCCACTTGGGTACTAGAGAAACCGTGGGGAAGGGTGGCAGTATGGTGGTAGAGTTAGCAAGAGGGCAGTTCAGAGAAACTCCGAATCATCTTGTCTGTGTCCTTAAGTTTTCTTTCTTCATGAGGACCTAAAAGGCCATGGCACTGGGCCCTGCTCTTATCCTTGAACCATAGTCCCAAGGTAAAGGAAGCTAACATCAGTACTGTGGGAAACAGCCCGACCAAGGGGATCAGAGCTCCTGGGCCATGGCTGCAGAACTAAGGGGCCATCTGCTGCCCAATCCTGAGCTAGGCTGTTTTTAGAGGTGAGGGAGGTAAGAGTGAATGCCCCAGAGCCTGAGAACCACAGAGAACACAACAATCTGCCCCTGCCTGCAGGGGAAACTGGACTGCCCTCAGAAAGCCAGTCAGACTGTCAAGCAGCTATGCTACAAGGAAGCCAGCAGCTCCAGCCACCCATGGCCAGTAGTAGGCTCACCTGTGGCCAGTGTGTGGGAAGGGTCACCCTAGGGACCAGGAGCCCATTCCTGGGGCCTGTGGGGGTAGGAACCACAGCTTAGTCATATCACTTACAGGAAGGCTGAGGGGCCAGGCCTGGTGGGTAAATGTGAAAAGGCCACAGGCATAGGAGGAACACATGGCCCCTGAGTTGGGGATTGGATCCAGGTGCCAGCCAATCCACCTGCAGAGCCAGTCCTGAGGTCACAATTCCATCAGCAGCAGCATTCTTTCCATTAAGGGTCCCTCAAGTGAGTCTAGACTATTTCTTCCTTCCTCCCTCCCAGAGAAAGGATAAGAAACAGCACTTCATATGGAAGATGTTTCACAACCAAAGACTCAGGACCTTGGATGGTCAGTCACAAACTGCTAAACTCATGGGCCATCGCAGCCCCAGAGTCCAAGAGAAGCAGCTGTAGCCGAGCCATCGCGCAGCCCTGGCTGGGACAGGAATCAGGGCCCAAAGAGCATGCGTTTCAGATAGGCCAGAGTGGTGGCATTGGCCAGCATTTCAATATGCTCACTGCCTGGCAGCGCCTGCAATGATACTTGGTGTGCCTGGTGGTTGCGCCAGGTCTGGCAATGCAGGGCACTCTGCAAGTTCACAGTGCCATCACCATCGCCAAAGTAGATTTTAGGGTCGCGGTCCGGGAAGCTCTCATAGTAGAAGGAGTCCGGCGTGGGGACATCAGTGCCATAGAGGCAGTGCAGCTGTACGCCAGGTGGCATTGTGACATCTACCAGCCCTTCCGTGTCCTGCCGCATGAGCCAGCCATCTTCAAAGCCAATGTCCTGGAAGAACCGGTGATAGTCGCGCAGCGTGTAGTTGGCCGTGGGTGTGCGCACGAAGACCTTCTCAGGTGACCAGGTATAGTTATAGGGCAGGAGCCAGCTGGTAGAGACAGCAGATCGCTGCTGCTCCCGGATCTTCAGGGGACTAATGACCGGGATCCGATTGTTGTCTCCTGCAGGGAGAAGGCTCCAGTGAGTCTGTGCTCAGGAATGCAAGTTGGCTGGGCAGCATGTCTATCACCAAAGACCCTGCTGGACCCCAGCCAGCGGCCTGGTCAGCACACCGCCATCTCCCCACTGTTATCATTATAACTCCCATGCCTGCATTGGCTTTGTTTCCCTTTATTTTTGCTACATCTGGGAAGCACCCAACCAAGACTTGTTTCACCAGGGACTAAGGCCGCACACACCCACAAGGTGACTTATCACTGGGCCTCTAGGCACTGACCTTATAGAAGGTGAATCAGCAGGTGTCGGCCTAAAGCATGTTCCTTTCTTGTTTATTACATTGAGCTATGTAAACATTTTTCCTAGGTTTAGATCTGCAGAGAGCCAGCTCTGGTCTCATGCTTGCCTGTCACTGACCTGGGCAGCCAGGTTTATAGGAAACAGGGCAGGAAAGGAGGCTGCAGACAGAGTGACTGTCCTTCTTACGTAGGAATGCCAACAACACAAATAAACCCACCAGCCAGTGAGACCTCCAGAGGGTGAGTCGACTAGGGAACAGGAGCCTCTGACCCTGTTCAGGACCCTCTGACTGACCACAGGAACACAGCTTTGCCTGGTGGGGCCTGGCTCGAGGACCCCCGAGGAAAGAGAAGCCCTTAGCTAGGAGTCCATGACTACCGCCCCTCCTACCCCACCCCTGCTCCCCAGACTGAAAAAGCTGTTTCCCAGCATCTGAGGTAAAGCTCTAAAGAGACTCACAGAGAAGTTGCCCAGCCAATCTAGGGTCTCTACTGGAACAAGCACTGGGTCTGACCTGACCACAGTGGTCAGCTGACCAACAAGCAGGTCAGGCAGTGCTAGTGACTTGAGGAAGAAAGCACATCAGACGCCTGGCACAGCCCTGGCTTGTGGCTCCTAAAGTGAGGGGCCGTGGGCCTCATGCCTGGTCCTGGCAGAGGAAAAAAAGCCCCATCGCTGCAGCTGTCAGGTTCTGACGGTCATGAAAAGGCAGGCGGATTAGGGAGGAACGGGAAGTAGGTGGCTTTCCCAGCTGCTTAGCAAGCAGGCTCACACAGATCTGCACCCGTTTCCTCCCCATGTTGCCAACAGAGGTTCCCCACTGCTATACACAGAGGTATAACTCATAAACAGGAAACTGCAGTCCAGCCTGCCTTCTCTGGGGCAAAGGCAGTATGAAGAAATGAGGATGGGGGTAGGAGCAAGGGAGAAGACTCTCCCAAAGAACTCTGGGTCAAACCCAGTAGGCTGGCCAGGCACCTGCCTGACCAACAGTTATGCCACTCCATGTTCATGCTGTAGAAACTTACAGAGATAACAAGGGTCATCAACGAGAGAGGTGACATTAGGAGTAGTGTTAAGATTCTTTTTTGGAAAAATATATTTGGAAAAAAATACCATTCTGGAGAAAGGTTGTGACCCACAAGAAATCACCAGGGAGCGTGAGTCCTATAAATATACCCCACTTTGGCCTGATGGGTCAGATTGGTCAGTGCTCAGACCCTACTAGTCGTTCAACATTTTGAATACCATCTTTATCTTAAGAGAGGGTGCCACCCCCAACACAGCCCCCCATGCTGGGCCAAGCAGAGTCTTACCTGAGGCCAGAACGCGTAGGGTCTTGGCCACGCCCCCCCAAGGCGCACCCAGTGCCAAGAAGGCACGGATGTACTTGTCCTTCCAGGCCTGTGGCTGCCGCTGCAGAAAGTAGAGCGTGTACATGTTGCCCATACTGTGGGCAACCAGCACCACGGGGCCCCCATACAGCTGATGCATCTCCTCGATCATCTCCCGGAGGGCCAGGAAGTAGGGCCCGTTTTCATCTGCAGGCCAGAGCCAGGCAGGGGTCAGGCAGGAAGGGTCCTGGGGCCTGATTCAGACGTTTTTCAGGCCAGGCCCAGGACTAGGTAGGCAGGGAGGGTACTAAAATCCAAGTGGGAGTGGTCTGGTTTCCCCTCAGGTTTCACGAAGGTAGGAAACAAAAGGGATCCTTTTCCCCTCCTCAGACTCACTACCTCTTCCCAGGGCTCAGAGACCTAGAAATCCTGGGGTGAGGGCTGGGAAAGGACAGAAGGGATTGACCAGGGGTGATAGCTGTCACTGCTGGGCTAGACGCCAGAGGCCCAGGGGTAGGTGAGAGCCGAGGGCCTGTGGTGGCTGTGACCTCCTCATCCCCACCTCCCAAGACCTCAGATAGGAAACAAAGATGACTACTTACTTGGGGCTCGGCGCCAGTCATAGGGGGCCCCCCGGACATCCTTACCCCGTGTGTAGCCCCAGCCCACAAGGCTCTCCACCATAGTGTGGAAATAGGAACCTATAGACAGAATGCATAGGATTAGAAAAGGTACAGCCAGTGCAAACAACCTACACCACAACTGCCAAGGAGACAGTGACATCTACTGCAAAGGTCCCTGAAGGAGTGCTCTGTGCCCACACGGATCAGACACTTCACAGGTTACCCCTGCAAACAGACAGGGTTCTTCTCACTCAGGAATCTAGCAAAACCTCCAGCCCCATCCCCCGGAGAGCACGAGAAGGGCTACATACCCACACTGCTTTTGCTGGGGTCCAGAAACTCCAGTGCAAAGGTCTTCCCAAAGCCAGGGACATGCATATCCACACCATCAGGAAACTGGGTGGTCCGGGACGTTCTATTGTACACCAGCCTATCAGGAGGGAATACTGAGCTGGTGATCCAGCGTTGGCACTGAACTTGGGTTTGTCCCAATACTGCCTTATGTACTGAGCCTTACTCCCTTCCTATCCTCAGGATTGGTCATATGTATAGGGAAGACCAAAAAAGTAACTGTGGGGGTTTTCAGAGCTAGTCACCAGATACGTGCCTCTGTGGTAAGGGAATAGTTTTGAGCTAAAGGCAATTTTAGCTTCAGTCTCAAACTACCTAGATGTACTTGAATTAGGGGCCTTGCCCATAATGAGATTATCAGTGATAATCTCTTTTTGATCCACCTATATGGCAAGGCAAACTTCTATTTACTAAACATCTGCTCTTTTTATCATTCTGCAATGACCTTTTTGTGCCCCCAGGGCAACTGCCCTCATCCCTAGCTCAGAAGGTCTCATATGTCCGTGTTCTCCTTCTGTCTCTGAACATCTCATGCATGTTTGGCTTCTGACTCTCTCATGTATACGCGGTTTCCACACATACGTATGTATTCAATTCGGTTATTTTCTCTTGTTAAGATGTTTCATGTCTGATTATTACACCAGCCAAAAAAACCCTGAGGGTAGAGAAAAGTTCGTTCCTCCCCTACATAACAAAGCAAGTTTACAAAACACAGATCAGAGGGAGGACCCTCACCAAGGCTCACTCCAAAAATTGATCCCAGGATCCCTGTTGAGACAATATTCCTTTTTCCTCAGTGTCACCCACCCCAGAATGCAGGTCTTGGATCTGGTTGGGAGACGTTAGTGCCAGGGCTAGCTCTGCCATGAACATCACACTTGACCCCAAAAGGCAGGCAGGCTAACCTCGCAGGTTCCCATCACTCCATCTCTACAGACCTAGCTCCTGTCACCCACTACAACATATTACAGGGCAAAGGAGATGGTGAGACCAGCACATAACAGAACCAGACAAAGAGATCTCCACTTCAGTGGCTGCTGTGTGGGTAGACAGGAAAGGCCTGGAGAAATGATGAGGACAGGGTAGTGGGAGACAGGAGGAAAGCCTATGCCAGGCCAGAAATCCTGCTCTGGCCTCCCCTGATAACAAGGAGGCAAATGTGCCTGAGAAAACACAGGCTAGACCTGCAGTCCCTGGTGGTCCTGAGACCCACCCCATCTTAAAAATCAGCCACAGAAAACTGACAGGATCTCTAACAGTAGCCCAAATAATAGGTCCTGGTAGCCCACTCTCCCTAGGGCAACCTGTAGATTATCTCAGTCGCCATTCAGGAAAGTGCAGAAAATTGTTCTGGAAAGCAAGGCAGCTCTGTGCTGGATTAAAATCTAAACAGGTCACAGGAACAATGAAAGTAGACAAGCCCCTTTAGGTATCAGCCCTAGCCTCCAATTGGCAGTACCTGAGACCATGACTCTGGTACAAAAATAGAAAAGCAGACCAACAGCCCAGAAATAACTCTGATCACACTCAGAGAAGGAAAGAGTCAACAAAGCAGGCATCTTAAACTACTGAGAAGGACAGGGTGCCTGGAGGGACAGCTAGTGCATCTGGTATGGGGGGCAGTTAATTTGTTAGATTCAGCTCAAATATTTATTGAGCACCAGTTGCTCCAGGTTCTACTACTATAAAAATAAAAAAGATACCATCCTTGCCTTCAGGGAGCTCAGACTGGGAGAGAAATTCAGCTCAGTCAGATTAACACAATTCTGGGTTTGAATCCTGTTTCTGACACTTATTAGCTGAGCAACCCTAGGCAATTTTGTAACAGATTTGAGCTTCCCGATTTCCTCTACCGTAAAACAGGTTTGAAGACAGTACCAGTTTCACAGAGTTGCTATAAAATTAAAAGAAATTATGTAAAATGTACAGTGTCTACTCTTGGGAAACATCCTTGGAAACAAAATTTGATGAGGGTTAGAGGAAACAGACATGTGGCATGCGGGAAGGAGAAGTTAACAGCTCTGGGGAATGGCAGGGACCTGACTCAGGTTTTAAAGAGTGAATAGGAGGGAATTTATCAGGCAAAGGGTGTAGAGGTAGATTCCAAGCTGAAAGAACAGCATCTGCAAAGGCATGGAGACCAGGCATGTCCCAGGAAGAACAAGCAGCTGAAGGGAAAGGTGTGGCCCAGCCAGAGGCAAGGGAAGGGGTGGCAGCCATGCTGCAGCTAAGAATGGGCTAAAGCACAGAAATCACAGGTAGGGCTCAAGGCACAAGTGTGGACCGGAGAGGGTAGGGACAAGGGAAGAAAGTTCTGTCTGAGATTGCAAAAGGTGGTGCCTACCAGACTGAGGAAATGGGAAGGGAGAAAAGTCAGTGACCTTGAGGTCTCTTGAGGTGAGGATGAGATGGAAATGGGCTCTGGAAGACTCTTTGAGTTGTTGAGCAGCACCATCTGCACCCCAGCTCCCACCTGATATTGTCGATCCAGCAGTCAATGATGACAGGCAGCAGCAGTTCAAGGTTCAGCCAGAGTGTGAAGTAGCTGTCTGTTTTCTTGGAGCAGAGGTAGTGCACGACCTTTGGCTTGTCCAGCTTTGCCTCCAGCTGGTTGCCCAAATCACCAGGCACTGCAGGGGGTCATAGAGCATTCATGAAGCCCTAGGCCTGATAGGCTGGAGACTCTCAAGGCTTGAACCCAAAGGCCTCTGACCTACAGGCGTCCCAGGCTAGTGTAAGTAGGACCTTGTTCACTCTGACTAAAGGACTGAGAAACAAGACAGAGCACTGGGCCACTTAACCAGCCAAAATTGATTCCAGAGAAAGCACAGGCTTGTGGAGGGTAGCAATGAACAGAAAAACAGTTGAAAGAAGCTCATACTGGCATTTGCTGACCTACCGAGGTCTCCAGGCCTTGCTAAAGGCCAGGGCCCAGTAAGGTTCCAAAGGGCAGATCATCTGGAGCACCCCAGAATTTCAGCACACCTGGACCAAGCACTGGAGATGGTGACCTTTAAACAACACACCATTCTGACAATAATCCAGTGGTGGGTGGGGGTAAACAGGCCTCAAGGATGACTTCGCTCTACCCAAGCCTATCGAGTCTACTCAGAGCCTTGGGGGGTCTTGTGCACTCAAACCTATCCCTGTTGCTTCACTGCCCAACATTCAACGCCCTTTGGAGTCTACTTCCAGAGAGCTTTCAGGCCTCACCTGCTCCCACATGCCATGCTCTCAACACCTCCCTAATTCATCCGCATTGAGGATCCATAATCACTATGAACAACCAGTGCTTGGCTCTCCTGGGCATTCGCTGAACTTTAACTGTGAACCTAGCCCTGCAGAGGAGGCTCTCCCTGTGCACCATCTCACAGTGTCCTCAGGGAAGCTATGGGAGGCAGCTGCCTTCACCTCCTTTCATGATGTGGGTGCAGAAGTGGAGAGTCTCCAACATGACAGCCACTGGATGACATGCCAGTGGACTGGGCAGGGGAGTGCAGAGACCTTGGTCATTGTTTTCCCCCAAGGAAATGGCGAAAGAGGAAGTCACCAGATCTGCTTTGCTAGTATGCCTTTTATTCTGGCCAGGCTGTGTGACCTCTAAAAATAGTAGTGGTCACTTCTGGAGCCCCTTTGTGCCTAGAACTAGGATGAGAGTCATCCGTATGCTTCTCACCTCAAATAACACTGGGAGAAAACATCCTTATTATGCCCACTTTACAGATGAGGAGCCTAAGGCTGAAAGAGGTAGAAATGGCTTGCTATAGTCCCTTCCCCCTTCCCAGGGTCTTCTGTGTCACTTCTCTGGCCTCTGCTTCCGCTACCACCAATTTGAGTCCTACCCATGGGCACTGGTCACACTTGGATGCTGATCCTCTGGTGGCCAAGAGCAGGTCCCTGCTCTTTGCTCAAGAACAGCTTGTCCGCTGTCTGTCATGGGGTTTCCTAAGATTAATGACAACAGCCTCACTCTCTGAGAAGCTGGGTTAGGATTCCAGTTGCTCTGTGACTCTGGGTGGGGCCTGAGGCTCCTCTGCTGTGAACTAAGATAACCGAGAATTCAATGAATTAATGAGTACAGTTAGCACCCATCAAGGAGCAAAGCCTGCATGCCTTTCACAGGACCACACACTTTCCAATGCTATATCTTTTATACTCGGAACTCCTTAGGCCCACTCATGGCTCCCTGAGGGATTCCAGGATAAAGTCCACATTCACAAGCCTGCACAATCCACTCTTCCCTCACCCCACTCCATTCCAGACAGCCTGGGCTGCCTCCCTCCCTCCCTCCCTCTAAAGTGTAGTTCCCCTTTGCCTGGAACTCTCTCTTGGCCACAGCTCCAGCTGCATACTCCAGGAAGCCTTCTCTGACTAGGTTGGTGGAGTCTCTCTGCTTGCTCACCACAGACTTGACCTCTGGGGATTATCATGAAAGCTTAAGAAAGGCAAGGCCAAGTTTGCCCAGTTCTCATGGTAAACCTAGGCCCAGCATCCCCCTGGAGCATTTCTAGGCCCAGAGATCATGGTGGAGGACCCCTTGGGACCAAAATGCCTGCCAACCCTACCCTTCTGTGAGATGCATCATCCTCATTAAAATACTACCAGCAGCAAGAGCATGGGGGTCATGCTGTAGCAGACTCAATATGTAACATATACCTCAGCATGCCTCTGCCTTCAGGAGTCCTGGCTAGTCACCAACACAGAACCTTTGGGTGGGAGTGGCAGCCTACATGAGGTATCCAACACCCCCAAGACAGAGGTGTCATTCCTTCCCACTACAAGGAAACACTGTGGTTCCTGTACAGTTGCCAGGGCCAGGACCAAGGAGGGGGTAAGCAGGAGAGGTCACCTATCCCCAACGTAGCTTAGTTCAAGTCACTCTGGAAGGGTGAAAGCACAGGCAAGCTCACTGACATCCATTCATAGCCGCTGTCCCAACTCTTACCATCTTTAGCCATCCTTAGATTTCCTGGGGCCTCCTCCCTCCGACCCAATGCCACCCATTTGAGTTTGCGGGGAACCCTGGCTGCAGGGTAGGACAGCAATCCTTTCCTCAAACAGCTTCCTTCTAGTAATGCCCTCTGAAACGTGTGGAGCTGCAAGGGTGGAGGGAGACAGCCTCCTAGCCAAGCCCAAATCAACTTTAAAGCCCCTGAGGGCCAACTCTGAGGCCACCTAACCCCCGCACCGGCCCCCAGGAGTGGGGCCAAGGGAACTCAATTTTCTGCAGCTAAAAATATGGGGATAAGGCAAAGCAAGGCAAGACAAGGTTTGGGACTGACGTGGGCAGGAGGACCAATGGACAACTGCACAGTAACACTCCCATTTGCCCCCATATTCTACAGAGGAAAGTGAGAGAGGTTGACCACACCGCGCCCAGTATGGCGGGAGATGGACAGACTGACTCAGGTGACAAGACGGTCATACGTTCCCTGACCCCGTGCTTAGAGCAGATGTAAACAGGGAAGACAGTCCCGCCCCCGAACCCTGTTCTGCCCAAATCACTTGCGAACAGACCCACGACTGGACACGCGTCTCACCCAGGACCACAGGGGACGGACGTCCAGCCTGGAGAGCCGAGACTGCAAGCAGCAGGAGAAACAGTAGGCCCCACAGAAGCAGGGGTGCGCGGTAGAGGAAGAGACAGAGACCCATGGCGGGAGACCGCGGCTCCGGGGCCGAAGCGCGGATTCAGCGCTCCGGGCTCGCGCCTAGGCCCGGGTACGGCGACGCGCTTAACCCCGCCGCCCGCCACCGCCCACAGCGACTGAGCCAATCATGATCCACCTCCCTCAAACTGCCTGCCAATAGGTACTCGCCGCCAGGCGCGTTCCCCCCAGTCGGAGATTCTCGCCCCGCCCCTGCCCATCCCAGGCCTGCTCCCTAGACGCGCTGCGCGCCGAGCGCATCGATCGATCCGCGCTCACCCGGGCATCCACGCTCTCGGCTGCGGACCCCGCGGACCCAGCCCGCCGCTGCTGGGTACCCAGCCCTAGGCTCCATACTCGAAGCTTACGCTGCGCAGCCCTCACCTTCCATTCCTGGCGTCTCCCTGACCTGAGATCTGGAATTGGTCGGGCCGAGTGGCGATTCAGTGCTCGCCGCTGCTGAGGAATCCGGGGCAAAGCAAGGGGAAGGAGAGAAGGGAGTCCCAGGCAGTTTTTGGACATTAGGCGACCAAAGCTGACCAGGACCTTTGCGCAACCTCCACTTCGGTTCTTCTCACCCTCCTTCGAGGGCACCTGGGTTGTTCAGGCAACCCCGGCCCAGGCAGGCCCCTGCCGTCTGCTCCGGAGCTGGGGGGAGGGGGATGGGGGGAGTTAGGAATGTGGACGAGATGGAGAGAGGACAGCTCAGCATGTTTCGATTCTAAATGAGAGATGTTTGTCCGCCCTTTTTAGGGGCACGGAGCGTGAAGTCACCCTGCCTGACCGAGAAGTTCGCGCGCAGGTTTGAGAACGAGCTGAGCCTCTACCCTGCTCCTTGGGCCATCAGCAAGTTGCCCCACAGAGTGGGAGGGGTGTTGGGACCTTGTGGTCCCCCCAACCACTCCTACCGCATGAAAACCTGGGGATCCAGGACACAGACTCCTTGCATGAGGAACTGGGGGCGAATAGAGTGGGTAGAGACTTGACAGTCAGTTTTATGCCAGCACCATGCATACTCTGGGAAAGGAGGGCCATGTGTTTGGTGACTGGGGTTCTTGATCCTCCACACGCACACTCCCTCCCTGCTGAGCTAGTTTCAAGACGTCTATCCTTCCTTCCCTTCCCTTCCCTTCCCTTCCCTTCCCTTCCCTCCTCCCCTCCGCACTCTCTGTTGAAATCAGGGTCTAAATAAGATCCACGGTGCAATTGATTATGAATTGTAAATCTCTTTTATTCATTTTCTCTCCCTTCCCTCCCTTCCCTCCTTTCCTTCCTTCCTCAGTGGCTGACCCTTTCTAGTCTCTCTGAGTGCCCCTCAATGAATCTCATCATCTTGGCCTGCCTCTCCTGTGTTCTTATAGTAAAACACATTGGTGTATGGGGTACCCTCCTCTTTTAAAGTCCAAATATATCCCGCCTCAGGTTCTGGCCCACGGACACTCCCTCCCCCCAAAAAAAACACCCATGTCTCCCACACCTCCATCCCAGACTCCAGCAGAGGGGTCATGGAGGACCCATCTGGCAGGCCCAGTGTGAGAGACCATAGAGACCTTTCTGCCAGGGCTAGGGATAGGTAGTACACCAGAGCCAAGGGTTAAGTGGAGAGAGGGCAGGGAACAAAATGGCTTGGGCTGCTTTGGACTCTGGCACAGTCTGAATGTCTTGCCAGCCCAACAGCCTCAGGTGACCATGGGCCCCTCACAAGGTGGCCCTGACCTCAGGAGCAGTTCTCAAGGTGCCCACTTCCATAGGCCCCGCAGGTAATAGGAACCGTGGCCACTGGGTGGTGGAGGGTAATGCCAAAGCCTGGTCAGCAATGACCCCTGCTTGCACTGTGGAGAAGGGTCAGAAGGTAAAAGTCCCCCTGTTTCACATGACCCCACCATCAACATGATGGCTGCAGAACTAAGTTCATCGTGGATTCTAGATACCTCCTTGACTCTCAGGCTCACAATTAGGTGGTCACGAAGTCTGGTCAGCTCTACCCTCCCAAAGCCAGACTACCCTCATTCCCATAGTAGCCTCCTCACTGATGTGCCAATTTATGCCCTTATTATTCCTGTGGATTGTACTCCACATGCCAGGTTGACACCATTAAACGTTAAGTCAGGCCCCATCACTGTCCGCCTAACCCCAATCATGAACCTCCCACTGCACGCATCATATGCATCTTATAGTGAATGAAGACCCTACAGAGTACTCTGGCCATTTCCCCCACCTTTCGCTCCCCTTTTTCTCCAGCTCTCTAATCTCCAGCCTCAAAGGCTTCCTTGCTGCCTAGAATAGGACAACCTCATTTTCCCTCAGGACTTCTGCAATTGTTCCACTAGGATCACTCTGCAGCCCCTACTTTAGGGGACTCAACTGAGTTCAGCATTTAGGGCTCAGCCTAGACATGACCATTGGCTTTCAAGCAGCCCCTATCTGGCGCCCATTAAAATGCAGTCACTGGAAGAGCAAGCCCCTTACCTGTCCCCTTACTGCTGCCTCCTGGCACAGTCCCTGGCACATGGCAGGTGCTTAACATATGTCGAGTGAATGAGTGATACACTCCCTTTTCTACCTTCTTTCTACCTTTCTACCTGATAGGGTCCTGGCGTTTGTCAGACCTGGAGGCAATAAGGGACTGAGAGGTTCACAGGGCTAGATATGAGTTCTGGAAAAGACTGGGAAAGAGGAAGAGTGTTCTTGTGGAGGGGAACATTCTGGGCAGAGGCAGGGTGTAGGAATAAATCCAGAGACTGAGGAGCTAGGCCTGTTGTGGTATCTTCCTCAGGTAAAGATCTAGCCAACAGCTTTTACTCGTCCTGTGTTACTGGGCCCTTTGCTTTCCCTTTCCCTCTGCAAGTTTCCCTAACTGGACCAGGTGGGGGGCTGAGCTTGGAGCAACCCAACCAAGACCAGGGTTTCTGGGCTGGTTTGGTAGCCAGAGCTGAGCCTATTTGGAAACTGATCCTCCTAAAGCTCATGGCTCAACAGACTCCTATTCCTCTGCTGCCAGAGCCTTCCTGGCATCATGAGAAGCCAAACACTGACCCAATCATGACAGGACCCTGGGGGAAAGCAGCCCAGAACGGGACATCTAATTTGGCCTAGGCATCAAGGAAGGCTGCCTGGAGGAAGAATTAGAGATGGGTTTTGAAGGAAAGTAAAGGGATGAATAGGTAGGTGAGTGCTCCAGACAGGGAGCTTAGCATATACAATAGACTCCAGACCTAAACAATCACAGCAGTGTACCTGGAGCACATGGTGGGTGAGAGTGGAACAGAGAGGTTGAGGGCACTGAAAACCAAGCTTTAAAAAGTGGCCTATGTCCAGGGAGCCTGGAACCGCGAAGATTCTCAAGCTTGAGGGAGGTGGCCAGAAGGGTAGTGTCAAGGGCCTTCCCATTTCACCTCAGGTAGAACCCTCCAGTGTATGCCCCTCTTCCCTGACCTCAACACCTGGATCAAGCAACAGCGTCAGTGCATCCTCTGGTGGGTACTCAACGACGATTCCTCAAAGGCGCAGAGATGGGAACCCGGCCCACCGGTTACACCGGAAGCCGGAGTGATAAGGAAGGATGGCAGCAGGCTCAGCAGATGAGCCGCTGAGAGTGGGGATGGGCCTGGGCCGGCGAGTGCGGACCGCCGTGGGGGACCCCAGCAAGTACCAAGCGTCGAATCCTCAACCACAGAGGAATATTCTGTAGCCCGGGAGGGAGGGAGACAGGAGCTTTTACACCACTCTTAGATTCCCGGGAGGTCCAAAAAAATGAACGGCCACACTTCGCGCCCCATGCGAGGATCCCGGCACTGTATCCGCCCGGACCGTCATGCACTGGTAGATGGAGCGCCCTCTACCTTCGTGGCAGGACTCAAAGGGCGAGTCCTGCCACGAAGAAGCGAGGTGAAGAGGTGAGGATGAAATTCCGCGAGTGTGCGATCTGGCCGGCGGGCCCAAGTTCTTTTCTCCCAAACACCTGGAGTATGGTTTGGGAAAGTCATTTGGCAGGGCCTTGGAGCCTCGCTCACCCCTCTCATGCACCTTATCTCTGATTCACTCGTTCATGACTCGTGAATCCCAGTGGGGGTGGGGTGGAGGGCATTTATCAGTGACATACAGGAGAGGTCACCTCGAAACATTAGGGAGGAACCGGCGTCGAAACCCGCGCGAAAGGAATATGGAAAGGCCTAGTGAAATACAGATATTTCAAACTACAGTAGGGACCGCTGTTACTGAGGGAAGTGCCTTGAGAGGGGAAAATCTGGGGGAAGAGCAGGGGTTAACTAGAGCAAAGGTCGAATCCCCCCCTAGGAGGGAAGAGAAGAAAGCAGACTAGTGCAAAGGACCTGTCGCCCAGGGAAGGTTACTATCTTGGGAATGCCCAGAGGCAAACAAAGCAAGTCAACCATTCATTCATTAAGTCTTGAGCAACTATAGTGCTCTCTAAATTTCTTGTAGGGATTGGTTCCAGGACCCCATTCCCTACAGCCCACCATACCAAAATTCTCCGGATTCTCAGGTCCCTTATATAAAATGGCGTAGTATTTGCTAATAACCTAGACACTTCCTGCTCTATGCTTTAAATCACCTCTAGATTACTTATAATACCTAAAAGAATGTAATGCTACATAAATAGTTCCTATACTATATTGTTGAGGGATAAACTTTGTGGAATTTTTCAATTAAATATTGATTCTAGGTTGTTTGAATTTACTGATGCGGAACTCCGATTTGAGAGGGCCAACGGTATTACGTACCAGGTGCTGGAAATGAGTCTGTCCTTGAGGATCTGCGGGGCGAGGGGGAGGCGGGGACAGGGAGACACGAAATGATTTAATTGTATTAGAAGGTGGTTTAGCACTTGGGGAAAGGTTGGGGGACAGGAGTGCGGGTTATATCAATGGAGTGATTTGGAAGGAGTCATCTGAAGATGTGTAAGAGAGCTCAACAAAGCAGGACCCTGGGTTATTTTAACAAATTTAGTTTTTCAAGGAGAGTCCAAGCCACAGGGATTGTCATGCAGGTGGGGGCAGAAGGACGGGAGCACAGGGGTTTGGGGAGCAGTCCTACGCTGCCAGGCCTTTGCCTCAGGTTCTCTACATCAAGGACCTGGGCACGCAAGAAGTCGTCTCCAATGACAATACGCTCAGGACGGCCACAGGTACCACACTGGAGAGGTCACCTCGAAACATTAGGGAGGAACCGGCGTCGAAATCCGCGCGAAAGGAATATGGAAAGGCTTAGAGAGAAAGTTGAACGCATGGGGGCGCTAGGATGTGTGAGACAGAGACCAGAAGCGTCCTGAGGGCCCGCAGGGGATGCCAGGACTCTATCCTATAGGAGCAGCCCAGACAAAAGACCGACAAGGAGCGATGCACGCCTGAGGAGTTTTGGGAGAGGCCGGTGGGCCAGGGTGCTGCTGCGGCGAAAAGTGGCATTAAAAGCTTTGCCTGGAGAAAGGCCTTATTGCGCCTGGCGCACGCTCCGTGGTAGGTAAGGGAGGGGCCTTACCTCGCTGTTGCGCCCCGCCCCACGAACAAATATTTGACATTCCAGTCTTATCCCGAGGGGGCGGGGCCCAAACTGCGAAGTTTCCTCCTCCCTCGGGCCTCATTGGCTTAACGCTTCCGCGGGTGGGGACAAGAGAGCAAGCCCGGGTGTGCAGTCCAGAGACCCACAGCCGCACGCCAACACCCGCTTATACTCTCAAGGGGAACAATGGTCGTCTGAAGACGCTGGAAGAATTGTCTACTTCCAACTCCCTCCACGCCGCCGTGCCTGGCGGGAGTCACTTCCGATTCGGGCGCCTCAGTCTCTTTATCCGTCAAGCGGAGACGCAGTGCGCGATCAATGGGCAAGGTCTCCGAGCCCCCCACCCACCCCCAGCTCTTTCGCTGTCTCCATTGTCCGAAGGTTCGGATGCAGTGCCCTGCTTTTCCGAAATCGCGAGGTGCTGCTTCCGCTTCAGTTTCGGCTCGGGCTTGGCAACCCCATGTCTGGCAACCTCCGCCGGGCTGAAGTTCTTTCTTCCCGTAGGATTCTTATTTAGTTTCTCAGTCATATAAACGGGAGAATTGGGAGAAGTCCGGGGCGGCCTAGAAACGTGCTGTAAAGGAGCCTCACCAAAATTGATGGGGAGAAAGGGTACTGGGAGCCCTCCACGCGGGACTGTCCGAATTAGGATGTCGGTCCCAGATGGAAAAGATCTGCAGTCCGCACGCGCAATTCACACATTTGCAACTAGTCCCCACCCGCCAGCGCGCTTACATCTCTAGGCAACAGGCCGGTCGGCAAGGGGGTAGGGCGACAATTTCAAGCAGGAGTTCCCACGTGGGGTAAGGGTGAGGCACCAGGCCCAGACTATCCGGCTTAGCCCCGTCTAGAGTGCCATTCTCGGGAGTAGAGGAGTCTCCTCCTCCTTCCCAGCACCAGGCCTGCGCACCTCCGACCGCGCTTCGGCACCACGGGCACTTTCTGGAGCCAGGCTAAGGCCCGGCCTTCGCATCTGTATGGACAAGCTTTGCCCAGTGACCTCTGATGATTCCCGCCCCCTCCCCCCCATCCCCACGGCTCTAATGACCTCTGGTGATCCCTGTCCCGCACAGTCGCCCTCTGGTGATCCCCCACACAGGCCTCCGAGTGATCCCCGGTAACTCTCACCGCACCTTTGACCCTTGGTGACTTCTGTCACTCCCCAGGGCCCCCACAGCCCCTGGACTGCCTCCTGGTGATTTTCACAAGTCTCATGTGACCCTTAGGACTAGAGAAGGCCTCTGGTTTTGCCCTTGGCGGAGGCCTCACGGTGAGAGGCGGAGAGGAGGGGAAGGATGGCGTCACCCCAGAAGTCAGTGGACTGTGGAAATGGGAGTTCGGGCTCCAAGCGCGCGCCCAGGCCCGGCGTGTGAGTGCGCGCGTCCTGGGCTAGGTTCTAGTGGCCCTCCCCCACGGCTCCAGGGGCCGCCCTTGGTCACGTGGCCAGCAGGGCCGACAGGTAACTCGCCCAGCGAGGGCGGGGGCCGGTAGCTGCTCCGCCTTGTGGGGCACCGCGGGCGGGTCTTAGCAGCGCCCACAGCTCCAGCCCGGCCGCAGGTGCCGCCCCCAAAACACGGTGTCCCGCCCAAGCTGGTCCGCGTCTGCCTTCTGTCGGTGCGTGCGTGCGCCTCGTCGGTCCGCGCGTGTGTGACCGAGCGCCCCCTTCCTCTACGGCCATGACTCCGCCGCCACCTCAGCCACCGCCCCCGGGTCCGAACCCCGCCGCAGACTCCGCTGCCGACCCCTGCCCAGAGCTTGGCCCCTTGATCGTACTGTTCGGAGCCACGGCGGGAGCACTGGGGCCGGACCTCGGCTCCGACGAGACTGATTTAATCCTTCTAGTGTGGCAAGTGGTGGAGCCACGGAGCCGCCAGGTAGGGTGGAAAGTGGGCAGTGGGGTCCCTAGGGAGCTTCAGGATCCGAAGGGCTCAGTGGCTGATCGGTTTCCCCATCCGCTCGCAGGTGGGGACGCTGCACAAATCACTGATTCGCGCCGAGGCGGCCGCATTGAGCCCGCAGTGCCGCGAGGCGAGTGGCCTGAGCGCCGACAGCCTGGCGCGGGCTGAGCCGCTGGACAAGGTGCTGCAGCAGGTGAGCGCCGGGGCTGGGGTGAGCGGAGACGCTGCCCGGCCGTGGGACATTTCTCGGTGGGATAGGCGGCAGCGGGCGAGGCCTGGTGCGCTGCGACTAACTGGCCGGGGCGGTAGGACGGGTTCCTGTTGTTTGAAACTTTCAGCGACTCCCGCGTGTGTGTGTGTCCACGTGTGCGGGCCATTCCTGGGGACGTCTTTTCAGCTTTTCCAGATCCACCTTACTGCGAGGGTGGGAATGGAGGCCGTAAGGCCCTTCCCAGAGTCCCTGGCCGGCGGGGTAGCGAGGCCAAGACCTAGACGACTCTGGGAACCTACCCGGTCGGGTCTCCCAAAACAGCAGCAGGAAGCCGAAAGGGCTGAGGGGCGTAGGCTTGGTCATAGGTCATGGTCCCTGCCGCCTGCGACCTCGGCCCACCCACCCACCTGGGAGACGCTGGAGCAGGGGCATAGGGCGTTGTCTGCCCCAGAGGCAGACGCCGCCAGGTGTAAGCTGCTCGTTTAGGCCTGTCCCGGCCGGCAGGCCAGGCGTGGGCGCTGTCCGGACCCCGCCTGGAGGCTACCTGTCTCCTGAGTGCAAAGGCCTAGGGTGTCTCCTGTCCCAGACTGCAGTGGGAGGCGGTTCTCATTGCTGTTTTCTTTTTCTTACCTTCACTCCTGTACTCACCCCCTGCCTAACTCTTGAGTGTTGAATAAGTGCTTTACACGCACAAATTCTTTCATCTTCCAACAACTTTGGTGGTTCCTGATGAGGAAACGGAGACACAAAGATGTTGAACCTGGTCTGTTCCAGAAGGGCTTCCAGGGCAGCCTCACTTGAGGGGTGCGCTGAAAGAGAGCTGGGTTGCCTTGCTCTGCCAGCCTCAGATTGTAGAGTTGGCACGGGGGAGGTTCTTGGGCCTGTTCTTAGTGCTTATACCTGTTCTCCAGTAGGAATGGAGGCTGGGGGAGGGGCTGGGTAGCTTCTGGAGTGCCACCCCTTCTGTGAGCAAACAGTTGAGTGCCAACTGGTCGATAGGGTGTGGGTCAAAGCTCATGCTGTCCCTGGTGTCCAGGTGTGGAGCTCTGTCCTTGGAGTTTCTCCGCTTCTCGGTTGGTCAGACGTAGAGGCGGGGCTGCCATTGACCATGAGCAGGATGGGCCTCAGGCGGGACTGGGCCTCCCCCACCTGTCTGAGGGTGGTGCCTGGTCAGGGACAGGTTTAACCTGCTTTGCCCCGCCTCTTCCTACCTGCTTGTCCCTCTCCACCAGGTGTTTGCTCTGGCCTCACTCCAGACTCCTGTGGTGTGTGCAATGGGGGCTTGGGTGATAATGTAACTGCCCCCATTTGGCCTGTAGAAAGTGATGGTGGATTGGGGGAGAAGGACACAGAGCCAGGCCCAAAAGGCGTGGCCAACTCCTACTCCCCAAGCAGGGTAGGGCTGAACATCTGGCTGAACCAGCTTTGCAGCCTGTGCCCTCTTTCTTCCTGCCTGCCCAGCTGTGAGTCTGTCTGTCTCTCTCCCAATCCCTATCCCCAGTTCTCACAGCTGGTGAGCGGGGATGTGGCTCTGCTGGGCGGGGGCCCCTACATGCTCTGCACTGATGGGCAGCAGCTGCTGCGACAGGTCCTGCACCCCGAGGCCTCCAGGAAGGTATGCCACTGAGGGCACAACAGGGGGTAGGGTTTCTAGGAACTCCATTGTGGGGTGGGCAGAGTGGCTCAGTTTCCCCCATTCATCCCCACTCACATGTGCCCCCAGAACCTGGTGCTCCCCGACACCTTCTTCTCCTTCTACGACCTCCGCAGAGAGTTCCATGTGCAGCACCCGAGCACCCGCCTTGCCAGGGACCTCACCGTGGCCACCATGGCACAGGGTATCTGTGACCCAGTGAGGTTAGGGTGGAGGGACGACCATAGGCTGTATGTGTCTGAGTATGTGCATACTGGTGGGTTATATGAACACATGCAAGTTGACAGCTGCTGAGACCTTGAGTGCACGTCTCTGGTCTGTGCTGAGGCTTATTTGGAATATGGGCATATGTTTGTTTATGTCTGGGCTGCGGGCCCTGTAAGGACATACAGGAGTTGGGCCAAAACAAATGTGTTTGCTGGGATTCTGCATGTATCTATATAGGGTACTTGGGCTGAGGTGAGACCAGGATTAGTGCTCATGCTGGCCCTCTCATGTTGGAATTCCCTCATTGTGATGTCTCTCCTCGTAGACTTAGGGCTGGAGACAGATGCCACAGAAGATGACTTTGGGGTCTGGGAAGTGAAGACAATGGTAGCTATCATCCTCCACCTACTTGAAGGGCCCAGTGGTAAGGTTCCTCTCACCACCTGTCACCTGTTCTCTTTGAGGGCTGGGTGAATGCCTGCCTATTAATTTGTCAAAGTTCCCCTCTCCACTTGTTACCTTCTCCGAGAGACTAAAGTGGAAGTCCTTTTGTCACCTCTTCATCCCCCTCGACTGTCCTCTTTCTGCAGAGCTTGGTGGGGAGAGCCCCTCCACCAGATCCTGCTGACGCCTGTGCCATCTCTTCTCAGGTCAATTGTTTTCGAAGCCCGAGGTGGTAAAACAGAAATACGAGACGGGACCTTGGTGAGTGTGGGGCAGGGGTCGGGATGACAACAGCTGGATAGTTCTGACCTTGTGCCCTGCTCTCACAGCAGCAAGGCTGATGTGGTAGACAGTGAGACAGTGGTTCGGGCCCGTGGACTACCCTGGCAGTCATCAGACCAGGACGTGGCTCGCTTCTTCAAAGGGCTCAACATTGCCAGGTGGGTACGGCAGGATGGGCGGGCCCAGGAGGGCAAGCCTACCTAGGAGGCACTAACACAGCACTGGCTCCACAGGGGTGGTGTAGCACTCTGCCTCAACGCCCAGGGCCGCAGAAATGGCGAGGCCCTCATCCGCTTTGTGGACAGCGAGCAGCGGGACCTAGCGCTGCAGAGACACAAGCATCACATGGGTGTCCGCTATATCGAGGTGGGGCTTTGGGCTGGGAGCGGAGCGGAGCAGAGCTGAGGCCAGCCAGGCCTGAGACCCATGGGCTGTCCCCACTGTACCCACAGGTATATAAAGCAACAGGAGAGGAGTTTGTAAAGATTGCAGGGGGTGAGTGTGTCCCCAGCAGTTCCTTGCTTCCCCTGGTTTTTGACCCATGTCCCACTTCCCTACCAACCCTTGCCTTTCTGCTCCCCCGTGTGCCAGGTGTGGATGGGTATTTGGAAGGGCATGAATGAAGTCAGCAGGTGACTCCCATGCCTCCCCCAACCCCCACAAGGCACATCACTAGAGGTGGCTCGTTTCCTGTCACGGGAAGACCAAGTGATCCTGCGACTTCGGGGACTGCCCTTCTCGGCTGGGCCAGCAGATGTGCTGGGCTTCCTGGGGCCAGAATGCCCAGTGACTGGGGGTGCCGACGGTCTGCTCTTTGTGCGCCACCCTGATGGCCGGCCCACTGGTGATGCCTTTGCACTCTTTGCTTGTGAGGAGCTGGCACAGGCTGCACTGCGCAGGCACAAGGGCATGCTGGGTAAGCGATACATTGAACTCTTCCGGAGCACTGCAGCTGAGGTGCAGCAGGTAAACACCCAGGGGTCCCCACCCCTCCCCCATGGGTTTCATCCCCCATGTCCCCACCCTACTTGG